TGTCTAAGCAATCAGTGTGTTCACGTCACATTTTAGTATTGGTGCGGTACACTTGGAACCTCAACAGAGGTGATACCATTTAAAGTGAGAATTGAAAAATGACGTCCACATCCCCTAGACACCATTTACTACGCACAATAGGCTTTTTTTCTCTGATTTTGAAAACTCTTCGCAATAGACTTAAAATGCTTCCAAGATCGACTTGTCGACCGCGATCGACGAGTTGGTGATTCCCATACTGTTTTACGGTCAATGACAGGAGTACTAATGAGCTGTCTCACGAACGTAACCAGCACATTTATTCCCACATAGCAAAGCCATAACACAGAGAGGGAGAAGAACTAAGTTACATGAAACAGTCTAACTACATATTTTACACCACTGATAAGGCAAAAGTCACTACTCACAGTGTTCATGGCTAGCTTCTAGGTTTCTGCGGCTTCTCTTTCAAGGTAGTGACGAAACGCGCTCTGTAATGCTGTTTGTTCGTGTTCGGCTTTGGTAGAAACATGACATCACAATGTCGACCTTTATAGAAGGGGGTGCCCGCGGTTATGTAGATATAAACGTCTTATTCAAGGTAATAAAAACATTATACACCACTGAGCACATAGTTATGGATGTCATATTGTGTTTCTGTTAATAGATACTAAATCGTTTTACACTTTGCAGTGTATACTGCAATGTTTCTCTATGTTTCTCAGTGATACTAAAATAACACAGCTTTGGTCAGTGACTTTAATTGTGTTACGTACTTGGGCGTCCCTAAAAATATTTTTTCCTTGTTATAATATTTCAGCAAACTTGTCCCATCTGTTTTCTGTTTATGATCAGAACTAGCGATGCCAGACCGCAAACGAATCTCTCTTTTGATCTGACCAGTGTCAAACGGGTTTGCAGATCATCTGAAACTGTTTGAGATTCATGCAGACACTTCACTTACATTTGCAGCAATTTCTCACGCCATTAAGAATTATTTATAAAACAGAAAACAAAAAGAGTGCTGGGTGAGGTAGATATTTACCTACAACCCATTATAGGGAACAAAACTTGCAAATGTGTCTTCATCTGATTAGAAGATATTTATTGCTCGTGCAGATATCACTCTTTATTGCAGGTATAGACAGTCCTCTTTACAGCTGGTATTAAGATGCATTTTATTGATCGGGGCCCAAGTGGACGAAGCTAATACAGGTGTAAAACGTTTTAAGCTTGTCCACTTTTGACCACTTCCAGAGGTAGCCGAAAATGCATTTGACCGGATTTCTTTTATAGTGTAAACACTCATGTGATCGAATGTGTTCAAACAGCCACAGTAGACCGTCTACTCTCCGTCTACTGGCCTAATCCTTAAACTTTAACCTTAAATCCTTAGACTTAAACTTTGATGGTTAGAGACCCAAGTTTGGTTTGAAGATGAAAAATGAAAACTGATGCTCTCCGTGTGTTTCTCTGTCATCTCCGAGTGTGTTCATTGTCCAAATTGTCCATTAGATCGAAAGATCTGGAAAAACCCATTCATTAACCCGTCCATTGACCCTCCCCTCGAATAAATCAGAACAGAGGTGGTTGAAAGTGGAAAAAAGAGAGGAATGTGTCTACCTCATCCACTTATTGGTAGATCGACCAAAACGCATCGAAGACACTTTTGTGATGAGGTGGGGTTCCTGATAAAAGGCTTGAAACGCTCCTGACCATATTAATGATGAAGTGTCTCTGTTTTTCTATCTCCCCAGATCCATTAAAAAGATGCTCTGGAACTGACTTCACAAAGAGGACACACATGACTTCTATAGCACGTGGTCTACGATGAGATGTTTACTTAAAACTGGAGTCAACTAAAGAGCTTATACGCAGTCTTGATGACAACCCTGTGTAATATGCAAGCCATTAAAAAGGAGCCCTATGGTGGAGATGATGCCCTGGTGCTGGCAGTGGCTTTGCAAGGGACAGACCAGGACCTGATTAACCACAAGTTGTCCACAATGCCCTTTAAGACCAAGTCCAACACCTGTCGCAGAAAACGTGAGTTCATACCAGATGAGAAGAAAGACAACACGTACTGGGAGAGAAGGCGTAAGAACAACGAAGCAGCCAAGCGCTCACGAGAAAAGCGCAGACTCAACGATATGGTTCTGGAGAACAAACTCATGGCCCTCGGGGAAGAAAACGCGTCGCTAAAGTCTGAGCTTCTGTCTCTTAAACTCAGGTTTGGTCTAGTGAGCTCAGCAGCTTATGCTCAGGAGGTGCAAAACATCTCCAGCTCCACTGCTGCGCTTTACCAGGACTTTATGCCAGCCAGTGCTAGCAATGGTTCCTACCCGAGTGAACTGGAACCGACACGCTTGACAAGCAGCTGCATATCGGTCATCAAGCACTCACCTCACAGCGCCTCGTCCGATAGATCCAACTCAAGCACAGTGACCAAAGGGAGCCCACTTATAAATATCTCCAGAACCCCTGACAGCATCAAACGAGAGCCCCTGGAAACCGGCAGATATGCCAAAGACAGGGCCAGTCCTTATGAACTGTACAGGAACTACCTTAGTAGCCCTTTCCCCGGTAGCTTCTCCCAGCCATCTCCGTTCTTGCAAATCACCAGATCCTCCAGCAATTCGCCACGAATATCTGATGGTGATGACGGGGCCGTGAGCAAGTCCTCGGATGGAGAGGACGAACAGCAGGTCCCGAAGGGTCCAGTTCCACCCAGGGCGGATTCACAGAGTGTGATTGTGTCCACCCTCAGAGTGCCAGATGCCAGTGCCTCGGCTTTGCCTCACAAGTTGAGGATCAAAGCCCGGGCCATCCAGATCAAAGTGGAGGCTATCGATCCCGACTATGAATCATCTGGCAAGGCCTCCTGTCCCATTGACATGTCTGCAAGTGGATGCTACCAAATGAGTCAGTACACTACACCTGAGTACATCCAGTCATCTCTTAGCCCAATGTCCTTCCAGGTGAACAATGTTCAGGACTGGAGTCACCAGCCAAATGAGTGGCAGAATGATCACCAAGAGGAACCAACCAGCTGCAAAAACCGGCACAGTCCAGACTCTCCCAGACCTAACAAACTCATCGCCGACCTTGAAAACGACTCGTATGCCAACTCCGGATCTGAGAACTTGTACTTGAAACAGGGCATTGCCGATCTGTCGGCAGAAGTGGCCTCCTTGAAAAGACTGATTTAAAAGGGGTCTGTAATCGAGTTCACAAAAAGCACTACTGAAATTGACTTATGAAAAGGACGTTTCTGAAACAGAGTTCTCTCTATTTGCACAACGCCTGTTTTCCACTGTGTTCGCTATTGCACTGTGTGGTTATGGTGTCAAAAAGCTGCACTTCATTGAGAAGAATGGTGTTTTGTGCACTTACTGTTGTAGTTTGGCGTGTCTTATTGATGACTCCATTTGTAGCCCAAAAGCCAAAAATTGGGCTACTGTTAATGTTAACTTCTCGAAATGTATTGTACATTGTATGTTCTCTTTTGTTTACAATAAATGCAAGCACTGAAATACTTGTCTCTTTTCCCCTTTCTCGCTCACCTAGGTAAGAATATCAACTTGTCTTTGCAACTTTAAAAGAACATTTACTATTGAATGTTTAGTTTATTTGTGGTTATAACATTTATAAGTGTCATGATAACATATTGAACAATAGATAATGTATTCTAGTTCCTTTATGATGTGTTCTGAGGCTCATATCTTGACATTAAGACTTACACAATATCTTATAGGCCTATCTATTTAGTTACTGTCAAGTTACAAATACAAAGACTTGTAAATATCGAAAAGGCTTTATAAATTGGTCATAATATTTACAAGTGGTCTTTGACTGCTTTAAGTAAAGTAATCTAAGTAAAGTTTTCTTTTAAACAATCATAATATATCATGAATGGATCATATGACATTTACAGTATTTAGCCATTGTAATATCAGCACACCCAAATTGCATTCTTTTTAAGCTACCAGTGAACTTAAATTAGCTCACGCAGACATTAACATTAGCTTCACAGGAAACACTCGCATATGAACAACCACCTAATGGGCTATATGCACGCATAAGTTCCGCATTTGACGCAAGGATGCTCGTCCATTTCAGGTTGTGGAGATTTAAGCGGAGGAGAACCAAGGAAAACGGGATTATGGGTCTTCAAAATGTAATGTCCTCCCGTCTTTGAAACGAAACGTACATACGCTTAGATGTAATTTTATATATAGTTATGTTTATTTAATATAATTTTAAAAAGAAGCATAAACACAACGAGGGGTGTCTGTTTTTGTGACTAACGTTTCTTTATTATGACCATGGAGTATAAAATTCAATATAAATTCCCGGTATTGCATTGGACTCTACGATCGGCGGAAGTTATCGAGCATCCTTAATCCTTTACCGGAAATACCGCCGTGCATAGAGCCCATTAAGATGTAGCCTAGCGAAATATTATGCAGATCTCAAACCATATCAATATAACGCAGAAAATCGAAGCCGATTCGATTTTTTTTTCTGACGGACGAAAGTTTCGGAGGAAGTCTGCAAGCGTGATTGACATAATGCGAGGTTGTATTTATTTTTTTAACCATTGAAAATTTCTAATCAACAGAACAACATTGATTGGTTCTTCTACAAATGTAAACAAAAATGTATTCAAAATTACGAAATCCATTAATTCCCATTGACTGTACAAATGATTAACACAGATAGAAAAGGTGACGGTCATATTTGGGCGGTAAACCTCTGAAAAACTGTTTGTGATGTCCCTTTTGTAACTTGTAAGTCGCTTGGATAAAAGCGTCTGTTAAAAATGAACACATAAAAGTCAATAACAAATGCTGCACAGGTCTTTACAAATGTATTATTTAAATTTTAAATAACATATACAGGCTATATCATAGGCTATTTTTACCGGTGTGCTGAGGTTAGTGACGTCTTGGCGAATCCAGCTTTTTTCTTCAGAGAAGAAATCCCAGCCAGCGGTCACGTGACCTCAGACACGGATGACGTCACTCACACAGTTCAGAGTTGAAAGTGGAGGAAAGCTTCAGCATGGCGGCTTTAGTGAAGTGCAGAGTGCTGGTTCAGGCTTTCCGATGTCAAACAAGCATTATTAACGGCGTGTGCAGGTCGGACAGTGTTTTGCATACATTTCTAACCGAGAGGGCGCATTGTGCGCGTCACGTTTTCAACGGAGGTGTCCGACTGCACAGCTCCGAGGTTAAGTCTGGAGATGACCTTATCGTTAGACACCTGGACGGTGAAGACTCAGGTAGACAACCAGATGCAGGCATTGATGATCACAGAGTCTTGTAGGATACGAGTCTAGCTGTCACTCAAAGCCACGCAGACAGTTTCTCCACCGCCTGTCCTTGACAAATGCCCGAGTTTAGGATTTAACCTTACCCCGACATAACATATTTTCAATTAAATGTTCTTAACTTGTTTTGTTTTTATTTTTATATAGCATTTTTTTTCCATAATGCTGTTCATTTTCCTGCAGTTATTTTTGTCTGTCTTCTGCAGTCTAACTGTTCTTGTGTTTAGGGATTGTTGTTTTGGGGATAAATCGCCCTGAATCTAAAAATGCCATCAGCAAGAATCTTGTTACAATGGTGAGTATTTGTAAAAATTTTCTTGTCAAAATGTAATGTAACACAACAGTCAAGTTCGGGAAGTACTCAAGTTCCTCTCATTTTCTCCATTAGGAAATACATTTTGAACAATAACTTATAAACCTTTACAGACAGACCTACTGTGAGCTATGCGCTTGTTCATCTGTAGTATTTGCATACTACAGTCAATAATCAATTCAGTATTTGCTGAAATTCCTGGTTGAAAACTACATTACCCATGATGCTGTACAGAAAATTCCACCAATCAGAAAAGCAACACTGCAAAATAGCTCTTTAGCTCCACCCCTCTCCCATACTCTCTCAAAATACTGACATTTTTGTATATGCATATTTTGCAATACACTTAAAATGTATTGTTTTTATTTTTATACATAGAATCAGTATTGGTAATTGGTAATGGTTTTTTTGATTATGCTGTTCACAATGCTTCAAGGGATTGTTGCTCTTTCCCTCACTAAAAACATAAAAGCCACACAGGAATATTAGGCTGCTGTCACTTTAAGACTGAATGCACGGATCCATTACACTGTTACGATTTCTTTCTCGACTGTTTACGATCACTTAAGACATAGCTGACTATGTTTACGAGGATACTTGCCAAGATGGGCATTTTGACATCATTTTGTTTGAATATGTTTGTTCAAACTAGAGGATGTTGAGCTCGGTTCACTATTCTCACTGTCTGAGACGCAGATTTCTAGATGCATGCTTCAGTAACGAGTAATGAATTGAGTTCCCTCTTGCTTCTTGCACTTGAATATTTAAATCAACAAGCATTGTTAAAATTCATAAAAATATTACTGGCCAACTGGTGATTGCCAGTGTTTCTTGAACTTCCCAAAACTCTCATTTGGCACTTGTCGAGTGTTAATTTTAGGCCCTGCTTTAAGTCTTTAATAAAAAATATTTTAAAATATTTTAAAAATAAAAAAAAACACTTCCGGAATCAGCGCCACTGAAAAAGGGACGGCCGCTGTTGTACTATAGAGATCATAGTCAGGTTAGATTCCATGTTGAATTTAACACAGATGAAAATGAGGCTGTGAGGAATAGACATAGTCTTTACAATAGCATGAATTGTATTAAAACATTTGATTTATAAAATTAAAATATTAAAATTAAATAAGTATATATATGAATATGTTGGGCTATGTACATTACTATAGTAAGTAGAATATATCTATAAAAATGCAAATTACTTAATAGTAACTAATTTTAGGTGTTTGTAAAAGGTTGATGCCCTTGAAGTCTTGCAAAGTCCCTCACACAAAGTCCCTCACACAAGGTTGATCATATTTGGGGGTCTCTGGCAAATCTTTATAAAGATTGAAAACCCCTGCCTTGGTGCACATTTACTTTTCCAAAATACGTTTGCGTTAAAATTCTTTTCACTCGAAATCTGTGATTGCATTCTGATGGGACTTGGCAGATTCAGACGGGATTATAATTACAAAGTACGTCTGAAATATGAATTTCTATAACCTCCCCCCGAAAAAAACAGTCCTGTCTGAAGAGGGTTAATGTTGAAATTGTACCAATTCCTAGAACACTGAAGGGCTCGATAGACTAGACTAGAGTTTGATTGGATAACAAATAAGAGCGATGGCCTACATAATGTCCCCACTTTTGTGATTTCTTTTTTGCCAGATGTCTGAAGCCGTAGAGTCATTGAAGAAGAACAACAAAGTGCGTACTGTGATTTTATGCAGTCTGGTGCCTGGAGTATTCTGCGCAGGTATGGAGCCATTAAATTGATTAACGCAAGTTGTATGCACATTTTCAGGATTTGTTTTTGGTATGATATTATTGTTGGTTACACAGTCTTAGTTAGATCAACAGAAAATTACAGAAGCCCTGAACTGCAACGTAAAAAATAAAAAATAATAATAATCTAGCATTTCGAGAGTGAAGTCGAAACATTTCGAGAGTGAAGTCGAAACATTTCGAGAGTGAAGTCGAAACATTTCGAGAGTGAAGTCGAAACATTTCGAGAGTGAAGTCGAAACATTTCGAGAGTGAAGTCGAAACATTTCGGGAGTGAAGTCGAAACATTTCGAGAGTGAAGTCGAAACATTTCGAGAGTGAAGTCGAAACATTTCGAGAGTGAAGTCGAAACATTTCGAGAGTGAAGTCGAAACATTTCGAGAGTGAAGTCGAAACATTTCGAGAGTATAGTCGAAACATTTCGAGAGTATAGTCGAAACATTTCGAGAGTATAGTCGAAACATTTCGAGAGTGAAGTCGAAACATTTCGAGAGTATAGTCGAAACATTTCGAGAGTATAGTCGAAACATTTCGAGAGTATAGTCGAAACATTTCGAGAGTATAGTCGAAACATTTCGAGAGTATAGTCGAAACATTTCGAGAGTATAGTCGAAACATTTCGAGAGTATAGTCGAAACATTTCGAGAGTATAGTCGAAACATTTCGAGAGTGAAGTCGAAACATTTCGAGAGTGAAGTCGAAACATTTCGAGAGTGAAGTCGAAACATTTCGAGAGTGAAGTCGAAACATTTCGAGAGTGAAGTCGAAACATTTCGAGAGTGAAGTCGAAACATTTCGAGAGTGAAGTCGAAACATTTCGAGAGTGAAGTCGAAACATTTCGAGAGTATAGTCGAAACATTTCGAGAGTATAGTCGAAACATTTCGAGAGTGAAGTCGAAACATTTCGAGATATTAAGTAGAAACATTTCGAGAGTGAAGTCGAAACATTTCGAGAGTGAAGTCGAAACATTGCGAGAGTGAAGTCGAAACATTGCGAGAGTGAAGTCGAAACATTGCGAGAGTGAAGTCGAAACATTGCGAGAGTGAAGTCGAAACATTGCGAGATAGAAGTCGAAACATTTCGAGAGTAAAGTCGAAACATTTCGAGAGTACGAGAAAGTCTTCTCCTGCATACCAAAGTTTGAGAGACTCTTGAACACTAGAAAGAGTACGCAAATGTAGAATCAAACTTAAACTTATGTTTTACTTGATCAGAAGAAAGGTGACCGCAGCTTTGGAACACCTTTGTTTATTTACTAAATCAGGAAACTGGTTAGTCTATTTACATTTAGATTTCTTTCCTTTTATTTTTTTTGTCTATAAATTTAAATTTAAAGTACATTTCCATTGAGTTGTCAGGGAGTCACCGGATCATCTGATTAACTGATCAGTTGTTTTCAGTTGTTTGTGACATGCTTTTATAAATTCATTTCACAGACTCATAACTTAAACTCTCAAAACTCATACAAACTACTCCTTTGTATTCTCCTTTGTAATTTAAACAAAAACAAAAAAAATTTGACAAGGGAATTTTAATTTTAATACACACAATACACACATTTTAGTACACACAAAAGTACCTGTTGTGGTTACATTTCCATTACTTTATTAAAAACTACTTAATTCCATTGCATTAGAAAAAATGGATTTTACAGTATCTTTCACAAATGTGCATTAACACACATTTGTTTGAACAGGTGCAGACTTAAAAGAAAGAGCAAAGATGCACCAGAGTGAAGTAGGACCTTTTGTTACTAAAGCAAGGACACTTATAACAGAGCTTGGTAAGTTAAACTATTATGTTATTATTAATTATAAAGTTATCACAATGAGAAAATTTCATAGGCTGTTACGTTTTGCGTCATTGTGTGTAAAATGTACAGTAACTAACAATAGCAGAGATGGATAGTGTTTGGAAGAATTTGATTAAATGAACAAATTGTTAATTTAGTTTACATCATACACTCTTAATAAAAAGGTTCTTTATTGGGATTGATGGGGTCAGCCAATCAGCATTAGGGGGCGTGTACACTCATGATGGGGGAGGAGAGAGAGAGCCAATCAGCAGTATAGGGCATGTCCACTCATGAGGGGGGAGGAGAGAGTGAGCCAATCAGCAGTAGGGGGCGTGTCCACTCATGATGGGGGAGGGGAGAGAGAGCCAATCAGCAGTAATGGACATGTCCACTCATGATGGGGAGGAGAGAGTGAGCCAATCAGCAGTTGGGGCGTGTCCACTCATGATGGGGGAGGAGAGAGAGCCACTCAACAGCAGAGGGTGTGTCCGCTCATGATGGGGAGGAGAGAGCGAGCCAATCAGCAGTAAGGGGCGTGTCCACTCATGATGGGGAGGAGCGAGCCAATCAGCAGTAGGGGCGTGTCCACTCATGATGGGGGAGGACAGAGAGGGAGCAATCAGCAATGGGGGCATGTCCACTCATGATGGGGAGGAGAGAGAGTGAGCCAATCAGGAGTAAGGGGCGTGTCCACTCATGATGGGGGAGGACAGAGAGTTATCAATCAGCAGTGGGGGCGTGTCCACTCATAATGGGGGAGGAGAGAGAGTGATCAATCAGCAGTAGGGGGCGTGTCCACTCATGATGGGGGAGGAGAGAGAGTGAGCCAATCATCAGTAAGGGGCGTGTCCACTCATGATGGGAGAGGAGAGAGAGCCAGTCAACAGTAGAGGGTGTGTCCATTCATGATGGGGAGGAGAGAGAGTGAGCCAATCAGCAGTAAGGGGCATGTCCACTCATGATGGGGGAGGAGAGAGAGTGAGCCAATTAGCAAGAGGGGGTGTGTCTACTCATGATGGGGGAGGAGAGAGAGAGACCGCCAATCAGCAGTAGGATGCAAAATTATATGCCTAACGTTACCTGTAATAATTTTTAAACTGAATTTACAGTGAAAAACAAAATCACCAACAAGATTTTATCATTTCAGTAATCACTATAACCCCTTAATCTTGTCACATTTGTAATATATGAGTTACTTGGACTATCGTGGAGCTGTTCATGAAAACAGTAATTGTATTTTGGGATGGGCCACCAAAGGAGAAGAGGAGCTAGATAGCAATTAGACATTCGACCTGAATTATCACAGTAACACAAACTGCTTTCACTTATTGATGACATCATACCCTCGGGCGGCAGGCACAGCAGAGTCTGCTGTAGTCGTCGTTACGTGAATGTGGAGGCGAAGGCATCAAGATGGGCTGGGGTGTGATCCTTTTGTGTAGGAGCTGTATTTATGTGTAAAACAGATTTAGCATTGATGAAATGTTTTTCAGGTAATCTTCCCATGCCAACGATTGCAGCTTTAGATGGGGCGGCTCTCGGAGGGGGTCTTGAAATGGCTCTTGCCTGTGACATCAGAGTGGCAGGTACAACATGTTTCTTTTATGGTTTTCCTCGTAAGGTTATATGAACACAACCTGAAGCTGATCACGCAGTGCAACATGAATGTTTTCAGAATAATTATTGCAAAATATTATTGTTGCCACATGCTTCCAATGTGAATCCATGTTAGAGATGTAGAGAGATCCTCAAAGTTAGTCCTGGGGCCAGTTGCATAAACTTAGCCACTATGTTAAGACTGACTTTAAAAAGTTAGGAACAGTCTTGAAGAAAACATTTGATGACTAGTTTATGCAACCGGCCACTGATTTAACTACACTAGTTATGTTTAAAGCTCCACTGGAAATCAGGAGTAGTCAGGGTCTAATTTGTGGTAAATGTGAACAACCCAAAATGATTTAAGGGTTTTATAAATTAATGAATTCATCTTGGTTCACTCATGAGAATATTTTTAGAGATATAGTTCACCCAAAAATTATTTATGAAGTTAAAATTATTTATGAGTTATATTACAAAATAATGACACTGAATAGTGTACGAGATTTGAAACAAAAAAAGCACATCCGCCTTAAAAGGAATCCATTCGACTCATGTGGGTTAATAAAGGCCTTCTGAAGCAAAGCCATGCGTTTTTGTTAGAAAAATATCCATATTTATAACTTTTTAAACTATAATCACTGGCTTCCGGTAACAGCCGTACACAAGTCTATTTCCGGCTGAAGAGTTACCTCTTACTAGATGAGTGACCTGACCTGACTATTCAATGCCATTACAAACCTGGGCAGAGCCAGGATATTTTGTAATATAACCCCGATTGTAGAAGAAAAGAAGAAAGTAATATACACCTAGGTTGGCAAATTTTTGGGTGATCTATTCCCAAGTCCCCCTGTAGTCAATAATATTATTCCTTAAAACTCAACTTTGAGTTTTTCCTTGAAAAATTCATCAGGCCTTAAAATATCTTGAATGTAACTCTACACCCTTGCCTCATTTAGTATACGCGGTTCTATGAATATGCAACTGAGCCCTGCCTCCACTCACTCACTCAGCTCAGAGATCCACTGGTTGACAATCACATTTTGATCTGATTGGTTACAAGGTAGTGTGTGACGTCAGAAACACCAGCGATTTCAAACCATGGTTTTGAGACTGTCTTTGGTTCACTGCAGTTTTTATCACAAAATACTCAGCAATGCTGTCGACTTATGGATGTACACTTGGTTTGTCTTAAAGCACACTAAAAACACCACATAGACATATAAACAACATTTAAAAGCTTTATTTTCACCACAGGGGGACATTAAATGAATTTGCATTTCTTCATTATGCTCTCAGTTAGTTAGCAGATGTATTCTTTCATATGTTCTCTTCACACACCCAGATTTAGATAGAAATGATGCGATAACAAGTCTCCTGCAATGATCAATTCACACCATATGGACCATATGCACACAAGGCACCTTCTTTTCATTTGTGGCTATTTTAGTAACTTTATTGGTGTAATGTGACTCAAACTTGCCATGCTGTAAAAAAAAAAAAAATTAATGCCTTTAAGTGTTTTTTGTATTATTATTTCTCAGTATTTCTCTGTAGAGTGTGTGTTCCCATGGCAATGCTTTGCTAGCAATTTGCTCTACCAGTTCCATCTACAGGAACATATCACTTAGGTAAATTTAAAGCAATTTGTCAAAGTAATTTTGTAATTTTTTTAGGGCCCAAGCCTTGAAAAGGTGAAGGCCCTGTTGTTTTCCTTAGGATTATTATTAGGGCCCAAGCCTTGAAAAGGCGAAGGCCCTATTGTTTTGCTTTTTGTGTGTGTGTGTGTGTGTGTGTTTTTTTCTAACGACTTTTCGGGCACTTTTGGGGCCCTTAATGTGCTCTAAAGCTCTAGAAACTTTGCACACGGGTCAGAACCCGCGGCCATCAGGGCCAGGCTGAAGCTGGTACCCGGGCATGGCAGGGTGGCTCGACAGCATCCCCTGGAATGGGGGCTTGGTCCATAAATCAAACACGTTTGCATGTAATAATATGAAACTCGGTACACCTATAGATCTCATTGGTTCATATATCCTTCATACTCTTACTTTTTACCCCAGGAAGTCAGCTATTTAGGGTTGTTTGGAAAACGCATTCAATGGAATTTGAAATACTCCTCCTAGAGTATTCCAACAAATGCCATGAAACTCAGTCAGCGTGAAGTCAAGATTTTTTTTGATATCTTGAACAGTTTGGCCGTGGCGAGGAAACAAAATTATGGCGTGAAATTGAGAAACAGGAAGTGTGTTGTAACTTCTTTATACATTAACTGATCTTGTTGAAACTTCACCAGTGTGTTTGATGTAAGAGGCTGATCACATGGATGTGACTATTGTGAGTCAAAGTTATAGCACCACCAACTGGCAGCAGGAAGTGTGATTTTAAAGAAAATGCTTTAAAATCACCCTCTTATTTTTACCGGATTTGTAGGGCCCTATAAAATCCGTTTTATTTTTTCCCAAATTCCGTTTTATTTTTTCCCAAATTCCGTTTTTTCCGTTTTAATTTTTGGGAATTCAGATTTTTTTTTTTACCCTTTACTGTTATTTTAGTTGTAAAAAGATCTTTTAATGTGGCTTTTAATGTTAATGATTAAATTGTGATTGTACACAAATAAAATAGGCATTTACTCTTAAAATGACAAATACTGCATGATGCAACATAACACTGCACTCTAAGTACTTCAAGTAACATCAAAATATGGTTATGAGTTTTAAACTGTCCTGTAAAAATAAATTATATTAGTTTATATAAGTTAAAATAAAAGTCACACTCTAGCTGTGTCGTAATGTGCATACTATCCATCCTAAATAGTATGTGACATTAGTAACTGTCAATACTATTTCGGGCATAGTGTGCACATTGGGACGCAGCTTCTGTCTCTAGCGCGCACTGTCGAGCGCTCTCTCGGACACACTCGGTCTCTCTCGCGCGCTCTTTCGGACACACTCGGTCTCTCTCTCTCGCATGCTCTCTCGGACACACTCGGTCTCTCTCATGCGCACTGTCGAGCACTCTCTCGGACACACTCGGTCTCTCTCGCGCGCACTGTTGAGCGTGCGGTCTCGTCTCTCTCGCGCGCTCTCGACTCGGACACACACACTCAGTCCGGCACCTCATAGACAGGCGTGCACGGAGGGGACTTTGTGTGTGTGTGCGTGTGCGTGACGAGTTTCTGAACTTTTTCGCAGACGAAAGCAGAGCCGTGGAGAGCCACTTCGCCATTCTTTCAGTGGAAACGCGGCTATTGTTTTGATGCCATCATGAGCTGAAATGACGAGAGGGGTTGTGTCGCCCAGATTTGCTTCCCCGTCTCTCTGCATTTTCCCCAGACATACGTTCTTCTCCCACACAAAAACCGAATTTCATTCCAAATATGTAAAATTCCGCTAAATTCCGCGTTAACACTAGATTCCGTGTTAATTGGCCAATTCCGCGATTCCGTCCGCGATTCCGTGATTGCGGAAATTATAGGGCCCTAGATTTGCTTCAAACTTTGTGTATAATGCAAACACACGGCAGACGTGTGTACGTGCTGTGGCAACGCATCAAACTTTGATATTCTTGTTTGATGCTTTTGAGACTCTTAACATGCTTGAAATTGCATGAAACTTGACAGACACATTGCATTTATTATCCAGTAGATGTGCAAAGTTTCAGAAACGGGGGTAGTGAGGGCTTAGTTGGGGGATTAGTTTTATCTACAGTAACAAAACTCAGTACGTATATTGTACTCATCAAGCCGGACAACTTTTAATTTACAGTGATTAGCTCTGACCAACAGAAAGTCGGATATTTTGGTTTGAATATGGTCATTCATGGTCATGAATATTGTAATATCTGCAGGGCACCCCTAGTCTAGTCTTATTAAATGTATGCTTCATCTTTCATTTTTAATTTGTAAATTTGATAAATAAATTCAATTATTTAGAATAATATGACACTATAGAGCTGTTACCCTAGGTAGGGCTGATCAAATTAAATAGTGTATACTGAAATGCATTACATAATGTTATGAGATCAATTAAATCATTAATTAAAACAATTTTAATTAGAGTCAATTAAAAATCGTTGGAAAGAACGATACTTTTAAACATAACCCTAAACCACCATAAGTTGTCGGCAGGCGAACGTCTTAATGATCCTGAATGAATTTAAAACGAATGTGCTATATTTCAAACGAATGTGCTATAGTTCAGATCATATGTTTGTTTGTTTTTCTTAAAATTTGAACTAACACTAACTTTATTCTCAGCTTAATTATAAATAATGTATTTCTGTATAAATAAAAACTTTTCTTTTTTAATCAAAGTAGAGTGTGTAACTGAAAAATGAAGAGATTAGGGCTCTGTTCGAGGACAAGAAATTAAAACCAATGCAATATGAAGAATGCTCAAATGATGGCACCCACAGACTGTTTTTAAATGAGTTGGATAAATATTTTTTATGCTTTTAAACTCTGTGTGTGTGTGTGTTAGAGAGATTTTGGTTGGGTGATAAGAGACAAAAGCGCAAGGTTGTGTTTTATTGCGAGTGTACACAAATATAAGGCCTTTGCACTTTGAATAATATCTTAATATCTAATATCTAGTTTTTATGTCTCCGTTCACACACACAAAAACACACAAACGCATTTTTGTTCTAATAAGATCAGGCAAGTAATATTCTGTCTTGTCCCTTAAAAAAAGAAATATAAGTATATTTTGTATATATATATATATATATATATATATATATACTGTGTATATATATATATATATATATATATAATTTATCCAAAATGAAAACGATACGAAACTTCATGTTTTTATTTGGAGACAGTACTGTTAGTACTTGTGTTATTTTATGAGATATTGTACAGTATGTAATACATAAACCTTACTTTTTAAAAGTTGTCACTATTTGCTTGGTTTTAAATGTATGCCTTCTGAAAGCATTCATATTTATCAATGTCTTTTTTTGATGCTCACTAGACATTTATCTCATTTGAAAAAGCATATCCTAACTGGTTCTCCGCACTTTACCTGTTTTTCAGCTGCCTCTGCTAAGATGGGATTAGTTGAAACTAAATTGGCCATCATCCCCGGCGCTGGTAAGTTTCTCTCTGTGTGTTTTTATTTGTAATGTTTTCAGTATTTGCTTCTGACTTCTGAAAGTAAATTATTTTGAAAGTAATTATATATATATGTATGACTTCTGCTGCAAATTATTCATTTACTTTTTTTAATTATTTTTTGGGGCTTTTTAATTAATTTTTCCTGGTTCCTAATCAGTGGTTCCTAATTTAGTGTTGGAGTCTCCCCCCAAAAGATTAACATCCGAGGTCAAGAAATGCTTTCATTTTCTCATTAAATACATTTCAGCATCAGTCCTTTTCTCCAGTGTCTGATAAATTATTCTGTCTCAGATGACCCAGTCTGTTGTGATTGGTCTTTTCTGCTCTGATTGGTCAGATGGCCCAGTCTGCTGTTATTGATCTGCTCTGATTGGTCAGATGACCCAGGCTGTTGTGATTAATCTGCTCTAATTGGTCAGATGGCCCCGTCTGTTGTGATTGCTGTGCTCTGATTGGTCAGATGGCCCAGTCTATTATGGTTGGTCTACTCTGCTCTGATTGGTCAGATGACCCAGTCTGTTGTGATTGGTCTATTCTGCTCTGATTGGTCAATTTTGACGTAACGTGTTACTTTAAATTACTTTAACCGTTTAACTGATAGTAATAATCCATCAAAATTCTTACTTTCGGTTATCCAGTTAATTATGGTCATGCTCAGAAACCAGATATTCATCATTTTGAAAATGTGTTGCCAATAGTAAAATATTCTATTGACACTGACATATAGCCTATCATATTCATATATCGATTACACCAATATTGCATTAATTATATTAACTGGTTATATAATAATTTAATTGTTTACGATTACGACGTTAACAGGTGTTTTTTGGTTTATGATCAATTTCTCTATCATAAGATTATTTATTATTCTTGGCTAGGTTGTGTTGCGGCATATGTACAACTGTGGGGGCCATTTTAGTACAGTGAACTTAACCAGGACCACACCCCTAAATGCATTTAAGCAACTGCCATGTGATTGGTTAAATAGATAATTGCATTAATGAGAAATTGAACTGGTGTTCCTAATAATCCTTTAGGTGAATGTATATTAAGCCTACATATGAACATTAGCAGGAGCACTTACAGTATAATCCCCCTTGGACTGAGAAAGTTAAAAGTAAAATTCCTAGACCTGGATACTTCAAATATAGAACCGAACACAACTTAAATCATCCCTGAGGAAGATTACAGTAAAATTAGAGTTTCCCATACGTTCATTTATTTGTGGCGGCCCGACGCAATATCAACGATCGCCACACATTGATTTTCAATTTTTACTAAGCCTATATAAAATCGTATTTGATTGCAGAGGGCCGTAGCTCATTCACGTAGCATTACCTCAGCGCACTCTCTCACCCGTACCTCGCGCTCCCTCTCCCTCATGAAACACGGCTGCACACATCTGTCCAACACTGCGCTGTTAATGTTGGAGACCCAGCTTTAAAAAAAGTTATTAGCCAGCATGCAAGGAGCCTAGCTAATAAGGAGAGCTAAGTTATTGTTAGAATACAGCAGGATTTTCGAGGTTAGCACGCTGTATATAGCTTGTTTTGACCGCCTCATGTTTGGTTTCTTTTTTACCGCCTCAAGTTTTATTAGGTCTCCCCTAGGTGCATTACAAGGCATAATTAATGCATTATAAATACTTTTATTATTAATTATACATGACTGCCTTTAAAGTGTTTCCATTGTTTACTGATGGCATGGCACCTGGTTGGATGTTTGGTTATCTAATACAGTGACATTTAGACATGTTCGAATGTGGCTTACAGAAAGTTCAAAGACTGTGGCTCATCAATTTGTATTCTGCAACAAGCAGATTTGTTATTGAAGAATTGTTTGTTGGGTGAGAACCAGTGGCAGTTTGTTCCAGTTTCCTTAGATCTCTGTACATGAGGTTGAAAATACCTTTTGTTTGGGAATAATCTCAGTCCAGACAGCCTGTATGATTATCACTCAAGACTTGACTTGCAGCCAGAGGTTTTCTCTCTTCAGGATGGAAATAGGTCACCAGAGCCTTGGCACACACCCAACCAGTCAGAGGTTTTTATTCGGCGGGCTGAGAGTCCCTGGAAAAAGCATGCCTTAGACATCAGCACAAGACTTTTGGTGCTTTTTTTGGTGTTGTGCTGCTGTTCTGTACCCTTGATCCAATTTCCTCATTGACCTGGCACATCTAAAGAGGTGAACGTCTCATTTTTTAAATTGTTTGATGCACATTAATTATATAAAAAAAACTTAAAAAACAGAACATTTTCAGTTAGTGGTATTGCATTAAGTGTATGTGGGATCATAGCCTGTGCCTGGCTTAATCATGCCAGCGTTTTCCCTGCTTAAATCTGGTTTCCAATGACTCAGCACATGGCGGAGTCAGAATAGCAACTGTTATGCTAAGGAATATTCACGCCCGGACTGACAAATCACAGGGCCACATGCCGTCGGCACCAATGGAGCAGGGCAGGGCGGACCCGATTTGCCTCTTCCTTAGAGATTTTGTAGGTCATAACAAACTTTCAATGCTTTTATAGCACAGAACCTTTAGGAAGTCAATTTGGGACAATAGAAATGCTTCTAGCAGTGATGAATATTATTTTGAGCTCTTCTAAGAATGAGGACGATCAGGAGAGACCTTCCACTCGAGAGGACCGATCTCACAGCCTGTTTGGCCCTTATGAAGGGAAATATGAAGGGGAGCCGGTTCGGAGCCGGTGCCTGCGCGCGAACCAGTTCTTTGTGTTTCGACAGCCAAAGAACCGGTTCGCGGTCGGGAAAACTGGTTCCAAAGCGGCACCAACTCTTTGCTGGACTAGAACCGTTCTTTTGGCACGTTATATTTACGTCGGGGGCTGGGGCGGGGTTAGATGTGTTCTAAACATCTTTTCGGACTATAGCAAAGCCAGGAGAAACTGCAGAAACACGCAAGCGTTTTTATTTATTATTTTTTTTTTATTTGAAACATAAGCAAAGAAAAAAACTGTCACAATATAGAACAAATAAATGGAAAGAAAAAAGACACAAGACAGGGGTACATAACTTATCAGAAAAGATTACATATCAAACGAAAAGATTAAAAGACTTACATATTTCAATTGTTTTTAAAGTTTTCTTGGTACACGAGTTTCATGCGACGTGCACAGTGACGTAACGACGTCGTTCCCTGGGCGCTCTAGTCAGTGGAAAAACAAACAGGTTTTGAACGGGTTCGCAAGTTGAACCAACTCCGAACCAACTTTGAACATGCTGTAAGCAAGCGGTCTGGGGGGAAAAAAGTTCCTGTGAAAAAAGTTCCTGGGACAAATAGTTCCTGGTAATTGCGGTGGAAACGCGGCTAATGAAAATGAATGAAGATTTGAGATTTTCCATGTTTCCCCTGTTTCATTAAGGTATTTACCACTTTTGGCAAAAGATGACTGATCTCATGTAATGGTGTATGTATGACACGCCAATTCGGATTTCCATTTTTGGCGTGCTATCGACACGCATAATCGCTTTTCAGCGTGTTTATGAATGCCGTTGACTTAACGTTACAATACTGTATATATAAATACATGACCTACCCCAACCCCGTTCCTAAACCTACCTGTCACTGGGGTTAATACCATTTATGAGTCTTCCCCTACCATCCTAGGGAAAAAAATATTGCTTCGTTTCGCTCGGACATTTAACAGTGTGTACATACACGCGGAATCACTCAGACATTTAACGGCGTAGACATACACGCGGATAGCTCAAAATGCGTATAGATAACGCTCTACTTGACTTGTAAATGGCGTGTATGTTTACGCAAAAGTCATGATGTCATGTTGGTTTTGGCGATAGTTGCTGCATTTCCGACAGAGTTCCTGCAGAGTTCATCTCCACCCCTAACAACACAATAATCAAGGTGATCCGTATTACTGGAAACATCCATGCAGTTCTGGTGGTGTAGGTTGGAAGTAACTCCTCTATAATGATCTTTTAGGTTTGGGATTGGGCATATTAATGTATATCAATCAACATCGTTAATGTATTTCACGCTAAAAAATGATGAATTGTGTTTATAATATAACACTTATAGAATTGCAAGAGAACAAGAGTTTTATTGATTTATTTATGGATACCATGATGTAAAATTCATGTTCATTGGAAATGTGTGCATGTAGCAAAATGTCACATTGCTGCTTGAATGTTTCGCTACATTTAGTGAGGTTTCCAGTGAGTGGTGTAAAAGGATTAGTTCACTTTTCAAAAAACTTTTGCTGATAATTTACTCACCCCCATGTCGTCCAAGATGTCCATGTCTTTCTTTCTTCAGTCGAAAAGTAATTAAGGTTTTTAATGAAAACGTTCCAGCATTTTTCTCCATATAATAGACTTCAGTGGGAACCAAACGGTTCAAGTTCCAAAAGAAACTTTCAGTACAAACTGCAAACTTGTTCAAAGGGCTTTAAACGATACCAGACGATAAATAAGGGTCTTATTAAACGTAACGATCGCTCATTTTTAAAAAAAAAATAACAAAGTGTAAGTTTTATAAGATCAAACGCTCGCCTTGCTCTGTTCTGTGGTGCACGTTCGTGACTCTCCTGTTCGAACTCGTTCAACAAAATGAACAAATCTTTTTCCGAATCAATTCGTTCGTTTCTTTCGCCGAATGAACCAAATGACTCAGAAAAAGATTTGTTCATTTTGATGAACAAGTTCGAACAGGAGTGCGTTACAGAACAGAGCAAGGCGAGCGTTTGAGCTTATAAAACTTAATCAAAAAATAGAAAAAAATAAAAATAAAACTTATTTATTTTTTTTATTTATTTTAGTTATTTATTTATAAAACAACCCTTATTCATCGTCTGGAATCGTTTAAAGCCCTTTGAACAGTTTGCAGTTTGTACTTAAAGTTTCTTTTGGACCTTGAACCGTCTGGTTCCCAGTGAAGTCCATTATATAGAGAAAAATCCTGGAATGTTTTCATTAAAAACCTTATTTTCTTTTCG